TTTTCAAATGTTAAATTTTCGTTGCATTTCTTTCTTCTTTTTATTTTCTTGGATTGAATTTCGTAATTTTTATTTGTTTGGGCCTTTGCATTTAGAGACATGAATAAAATGAGCATGTAATTTTCCTCTCAAAAAATAAGAAAAAATTAAAATGTTCCTTGCTTACTAAACAAAAATGAAATAAAATAATAAAATGTTTCTTAGGATTTTCTTAGAAAAAAATCTTCCCACAAAATCAACAAACCTTATAACTAAGAAAAACAAATAAGAAAAATACACAAAGAAATAAAATCTGGTGGCTCACGCCTGAAATCCCAACACTTTGGGAGGCCGAGGTGGGCGGATCACAAGGTCAGGAGATCGAGACCTTCCTGGCTAACACGGTGAAACCCCGACTCTACTAAAAATACAAAAAAAATTAGCGGGTGCCTGTACTCGGGAGGCTGAGGCAGGAGAATGGCCTGAACCTGGGAGGCAGAGCTTGCAAGTGAGCCAAGATCTCGCCACTGCACTCCAGCCTGGGCAACAGAGTGACACTCAGTCTCAAAAAAAAAAAAAAGAAAGAAAATCAGAAGTGAAAGAGGAGACACTCCAACTCATGCCACAGAAATGTGAAGAATCCCTATAGAATCCCTACGAATAATTGCATGTCAACAAAGCCAGGTGTGGTGGCGTATGCCTGTAATCCCAGCACTTTCGGAGGCCGAGGCCGGTGGATCACTTGAGGTCAAGAGTTCAAGACCATCCTGGCCAACATGGTGAAACCCCGTCTCTACAAAAATACAAAAATTAGCCAGGCATGATGGCAGGTGCCTTTGATCTCAGCTATTCAGGAGGCTGAGGCAGGAGCATCGCTTGAACTCGGCAGGCGGGGGTTGCAGAGAGCCAAGATCATGCCACTGCACTCCAGCCTGGGTGACAAGCAAAACGCCGTCTCAAAAAAAAGAAAGGAAAAAATATATATGTATCAACAAAATGGACAACTTAGAAAAAATGGATAAAGTCCTAAAAACATACAACCTACCAGGATTGAATCATAAAAAATTAAAAAGTCTCAACACTCCAATAACTAATAAGGAGATTAATTTAGTAATCAAAAGCCTTCCAACAAAGAAAAGCCCAGCACCAAATGCCTTCACAGATGCATTCTACCAGAATGAGGGACAGAGATGACATGATAATCACAAAAGACACAGCAAAAGCATTCCACAAGATTCAACACCCTTTGATGATAAAAATTCTCAAAAAATTGGGTAGAGAAGGAATTTACCTCAACACAATAAAGGCCGTATATTAAAAACACACAGTTAACATCATACTCAATGGTCAAAAACTGAAAGCTTTTTCTCTCATATCTGGAACAAGGAAATGATGCACATTCTCACCACTTCTATCCGGCATAGTATTATAATTCCTAGCCAGAGTAAGTAGAAAAGAAAAGGAAAAAAAAGTATTCAAATCAGAAAGGAAGAAGATTATCTCTGTTTGCACATTACATGATCTTATAGATGTGCAGAAAATTTTATTTCTTCACATGATACGTAGAAAATTCTAAAGATTAACCAAAAAAATTAAGATAAACAAATTTAACAAAGTTTCAGGATACAAGATCAATACACAAAAATCAGTTGTGGTTCTATACACTACAATAAATTATCAAAAAGGAAATTAAGAAAAAATCTTGGCTGGGCAAGGTGGCCCATGCCTGTAATCCCAGCACTTTGGGAGGCCAAGGCAGGTAGATCACTTGAGGCCAGGAGTTCGAGACCAGCCTGGCCAACATGGCAAAACCCCATCTCTACTAAAAATACAAAAATTAGCCAGGCATGGTGGCACACAACTGTAATCCAAGCTACTCAGGAGGCTGAGGCAGGAGAATCGCTTGAACGTGGGAGGCGCAGGCTGTAACGAGCAGAGATCGCACCACTGCACTCCATCCTGGGCGACAGAGCAAGATCTGTCTCAAAAAAAAGTCTAACTTATAGATCCGGAAAGTGAATTGGTGGTTGCCAGGACCTGGTGGAGAGGAGAAAACAGGAAGGTATTCACCAAGGGGTACAAAATTTCAGCTACACAGACAGTAACTGCTACAGATCTACTGTATAGCATAATGCCAACAGTTAACAACACTGTATTACATACTTAAAATCTTGCTAAGGAGATATCTTATGTTAAGTGTTCTTATTACCAAAATAATAATAATAGTAAGTCAGAGGGTGGGAGGAAACTTTTGAAGATGATGAATAGGTTTATGGCACAGATTGTGGTGACAGTTCCATGGTTGTTACTTATCTTCAAACTCATCAAGTTGTACACATTAAATATGTATAGCTTTCTGCATGTCAACTGTACCTCATTAGAGGTTTTTTTCTTAAATTCAGGTGAGAAAGGGGGAAGGGGGAAGATGAAAGAGATATTTTTTAATTTGTCAAAAGGAGGTATCATAACTTCATTCCTTACACTCCCCATCCAAAACACACATACACACACACACTTCCTACAAAGAAAAAGCCAGGCCCAAATGGCTTTGTGGTGAATTCTATCCAACATTTAAGGAAGCATTAACATTAATCTTTCACAAACTCTCCAAAAACATGTAACACCAGGATTTTGGAGGCTGTGACTCAAAATGGGGTCATAGTATGAGCCAGGATCATCCTGATACCAAAACCAAAGACATCACAAGAAAAGAAAACCATAAATTAATATTTCTTATGACTATAGGTGCCAAAAACTTCAACAAAATACCAGCCAACCTAACAAGGAACATATAAATGGATTATATACCATAACCAAATGGGACTATTCCAGAAATACAAAGTTGGTTCAAACTATAAAAATCAATTAATATACTGTAAAACAAAGTACACGAATCACATGATCATCTCAACAGACACAGAAAAATCACTGACAAAATCTAACACCAACACCTATTTATGGTAACAACCCTCAACAAACTAGCAATGAAAGGGAACTTTCTCAACCTGACAAAGGGCATACAGAAACCCCACAGCTCACATCAGACTCAACAGTAAAAAACTGAAAGTGCTCCCACTAAGATCAAGACTTACAAGAATATTCACTCTTCCCACTTCTATTCAACATAGAGGTTCTATCCAAAGCAATTAGGCAAGAAAAAGAAATAGCATCCCAATTGGAAAGGAAGAAGTAAAACTATCTCTATTCAACATGACATGACCGTGTATACAGAAAATCCTAAGGAATACACACACACTATTAGAGCTAATAATTGAGGTCATTAAAGTTGCAGGAAATAAGTTCAATATACAAAAATTATTTTAATAGTATTTCTATATAGTATCAATAAACAATCAAAAACTAAAATAGAACAATTTCATTGAAAATAAAATTTTTTAAATCTCATTTAAAAATGTATTCTCTAGATAATTCATCTAATTTACTAGACTTAGTACTAAATGCCACTTTTTTCCCCTAAAGTCTAAAGTTCATCATCAAAGTATAAAGATGTACTATCCCTGAAAACCCTCTGACCCTCAGGGCTGGTAGTTTCTACAGAAAAGTTTCAAAGTATTCAGCAAGGATAATAAATTCAAAATGAGTATGAATATTGCTTTTCAAGGTGAAAACTTAGAAGGTTGTAGCCCTCAAAATTGAGCTAGCATCTCAGTGTACTTTTTAACTCCTGTCACATTATTTCATGGTCATGCCTTCCATTTCAGGTCAATAAAGAAGCTACTCGGCTGAAATAATTCATTATTTTCTTTCTTTTTTGTTTTGAAACAGAGTTTTGCTCTTGTTGCCCAGGCTGGAGTGCAATGGCACAATCTCGGCCTCCCGGGTTCAAGCAATTCTCCTGCCTCAGCCTCCCGAGTAGCTGGGATTATAGGTATGCACCACCACGCCCAGCTAATTTTGTATTTTTAGTAGAGATGGGGTTTCTCCATGTTGGTCAGGCTGGTCTCGAACTTCTGACCTCAGGTGATCTGCCCACCTCGGCCTGCCAAAGTGCTGGGATTAGAGGCGTGAGCCACTGCACCCAGCCAATAACTCATTATTTTCAAACTGTATTTTATTTATTCCTAACCTGCCCTCTAATTCTTAATAGGAAAAAATAACACCACCTCCTAGACTGTTACAAAATCTGTTTTTAAATTTTCATGTTCTTTATATTTCTTTTCTTATACATAAGATAGCTAATTAAGTTCCTTGTTTGAAAGGCCTTTCTGAGATGCTGGCTTTCTTAAAACTTTGTACTAACCAGGCAATGGAGCCCTTACCTGTATCATCTTATTTCATCCTTATAATAAAGCTGTGTAATAGGTGCATTTTTAAATCTGATTTTCTAGATAAGGAAACTGAGGTTCAGAGAAGTATTCAAGGTTCTCAGAGTCAGAAGGTGTCAAAGAGTGGACACGCAAACCCAAATATTTCCAGCTCTGGCACCCTCACACTGATGACTGAACCACACTGCCTCTTCGGTTGCCCAGTATCTAGGTATGCCAACCAAGCACTTTCCTGGCATCTTAAATGGGGGTAGAAAAGCTTAAGTTTAGATCTTGTGGTGTTTTAGGAAGAGCACAAATGGTTTGTAAGGAAAATTCCTTTAGTAATTATCTAATTTCAAATTGTGGATGAAAACTCAAATATCCTGCCTCCAGGGGAAGAAGGAAATATTGCAATCCACATAAAACTAAACCAATCTGCTTCTCTGTACTGTCCACGCACGGTAAGAAAATTTTCTTTTTTCCCAAATACTTTCATTGTTGCTACTAATCATAGTGCCATTACTGTTGAGTACTTTATGATTTGCCAAATACTTTTGTCCCAACTTTTAATTTTGCAAATTTTTGAGTCTCCAAAAATGTTAAATAGTAGCACAATGAACACCTACCTGTACCTCTCTCACCTATATTCACTTCTTATTAAGATTTTGCCTCATTTACTTTATATTTGTACATTTCTGATGAGGCATTTGGGAGTAAGTGCAGACATTATGACACTTTGTCCCTAAATATTTCAGCAGCATTCTCCTAAGAATAAGGACTTTCTTCTTAAACAACACCACCATCAAATCTATGAAAATTAAAAATAATTCTTTAATACTATTTAATATCTAGCCAATACTTAGTCTTTCTCAATTGTACTCAAATGTGTTCTACAGCTTTTATAAATCCAGAATTCAATTAAGGTTCATGCATTTATTTGGTTCTCATATCTCTTTAGTTGTTTTTATCTGTAACTGTCCCACCACCACGTTTTTCATGACGTGGACATTTTGAAGAGCAGAGGACTGTTGTGTTAAAAAATGCCCCACTTTCTAGGCTTACCTATTTTGTTTCCTTATAACAAGATCCAGGATAAACATCTTTCTCAAGAATATTATGCAGATTATGTATATTTTTTATTTGCTTATAGAGGAGAAACATTAGGTTGTCTCATTTTGGGTGCTGATAATTTTGATCTTTTGATTAAGGAGGTGAGTGCCATTTCTCTCCATTATAAAGGTACATTTTCCTCTTTGTAATTAGTAATAATCTGTTGTGTAACAATTTGAGACTCTGTAAATATCCTATTCTCCAATTAACTTTCACCCAATCATTTTAGCATCCATAGATGATTCTTTTCTTTTCGGAAACAATTATTAAAATAGAGAGTGGCTGGGCACAGTGGCTCATGCCTGTAATCTCAGCACTTTGGGAAGCCAAGATGGACCAATCACTTGAGCCCAGGGGTTCAAGACTAGCCTGGGCAACATGGCAAAACGCCATCTCTACAAAAAAATATACAAAAATTATCCAGGCATGGTGGTGTGCACCTATAGTCCCAGCTACTCAGGAGGTGAGGTGGGAGGATAAACTGAGCAAAGGACGTCAAGGGTGTAATGACACAACTGTGCTACAGCCTGGGCAACAGAGCAATACCCTGTCTCAAAAACAAATAAATAAAATGGGGGGTGCAGAATGGTGATTTTCAAACAGCTATTTCTTATACATTAATTAGGTGGCATTATTCATAAAGATGAGCAGTCCATTTTATCTATAAAGGGGGGCTTTAATTAATTTTAAAATATTTAGCCTTTCCTGATAATAAAACTCATGTTCAATATAGACAACTTTCAAAAATATAGAAAAGACCAAAGAAAAGCGTATTAACTCATAATGCCACCATTCTTAGCCACTATTAACATGTGATGTGTATATATCCTTCATTCTTTTTCTATTTATATGTTTTTGTTTATTTGTTTTTGTTTGTTTTGAGAAGGAGTCTTGCTCGGTCGCCCAGGCTGGAGGGCAGTGGCGTGATCTCGGCTCACTGCAAGCTCCGCCTCCCGGGTTCACGCCATTCTCCCACCTCAGCCTCCCCAACAGCTGGGACTACAGGCGCCCACCACCACGCCCGGCTAATTCTTTTGTATTTTTAGTAGAAACGGGGTTTCACTGTGTTAGCCAGAATGGATGTGTATTGTTGTATAAAAGTGGGATTGTACTCTATCAGCTTTTGTGAAGCCTGTTTTTTTACTTATGATTTTCAGATATCACTGAAATCTTATATGACAACTGTTTTTTTTTGTTTTTTTTTTTGAGACAGGGCCTCACTCAGTCACCCAGTCTGGAGTGCAGTGACACAATCTTGGCTCACTGCAACTTCCACCTCCTGGGTTCAAGCAATTCTACTGCCTCAGCCTCATGAGTAGCTGGGATTACCAGCTGTCACCACCATGCCCAGCTAGTTTTTGTATTTTAAGTAAAGACCAGGTTTTACCATGTTGGCCAGGCTGGTCTGGAACTCCTGACTTCAAGTGATCCACCTGCCTCGGCCTCCCAAAGTGCTGACAGCCAATGCACCCAGCCCTTATATGAAAACACTGTTAATAATTTTATAGAATCCTATCAAGGAGAATGATCATGACCTATTTAACATATCTACTATTGTTACAAATTTTGGTTACTTCTAATGTTTTATATTCTAAATACTTCTTCAATGAGTATTCTTGTTAACTCTTTAAACCCTTTTTGAGTATTTCTTGTGGGGTTTTTGAGTTAAAGCCTAGGTAAAACAGTTTAAATATTCTAATATTGTGAATTTCTGTGAGAAAGCTTAATATGTTCAAACTTTGATAAGACAACTTCAATACAGTGAGACTTTAAAATCATATTCTCACCCATAAGACAGATTCCAAAGAAGAGACCCAGATATCTCATGTACCTACTGGGATTATTGTGCTGTTTGAGAATGAGCTGCTTACACAGCATTTCACTAAAGTTTATTATAACTCTAATAAGCAGGTTGTCCATTAGATCTAAGAATCTGAACAAATTGGTGACATGGTCTCTACAGCAATGAGTCAGATGCTGTTAGAATCTGGTCGGGCGCAGTGGCTCATGCCTGTAATCCCAGCACTTTGGGAGGCCAAGGCAGGCGGATCACCTGGGGTCAGGAGTTTGAGAGCAGCCTGGCCAACATAGCGAAATCCCATCTCTACTAAAAATACAAAAAAAAATTAGCCAGGCGTGGTGGTCGGCACCTGTTATCCCAGCTACTTGGGAGGCTGAGACACAAGAATCGCTTGAACCTGGGCGGCAGACGTTGGCAGTGAGCCGAGATCATGCCACTGCACTCCAACTTGCGTGACAGAGTCAGACTCTGTCTCAATAAAAAGAAAAAAAAAATTATCTGTGAACACTCCACAGAACGATCCTGCAAAATGGGCCAGTCTCATGCAAAGGGACATTTTCACAATCACTCTCATTGTGTTTCTGGTGTAAGAACCTTAAGCTAAAATCACCTTTTTCTGATGGAATTTTGGTCATGGGCAGTACGAAAATTAAAGCCACAATTCAAAGACAGGGAGCAGTGACTGCATCTGATGGATGATAAGCCAGAGAAAATAGCAGCCAACAACCCTTACACATAGTGTACCTGGCCCTGTGCTAAAATGCTGTGTCCACGTTGCCTCATTTAAGCCTCAGGACAAACTTCTGAGTGAAGTGCCATCATTACACCTGTTTCTAGCTGAGACAAAAAAAAAAAAAAAAAAGTAGAAGTTAAAAGAAATGACCAAGGAAAGTTCTCCGTGTGCGTTAAGTTTTCTATGTGGGATCCCCTGGAGAGTGGGGATCCTGACTTATTTTTCTCAGTCTCCCCTGGCGCTAGCCAGAGTGCTCAATTCATATCACTAAATGATTGTGAAAGGGAAGTAAATGTAGATTTCTGAATTTTTCATTCTATCAAGTGTGCTTGGAGGAATATGCTTCAGCAAGAGGCCACATGCTTTTACCTCACAGGTGACAGAGGGATCATGCATGAAGACAGCTACTTCTGGTTGTCTGGTAGAGCTGATGATGTTGCCAATGCATTGGGTCAGATTGTGAATGCTGTGGTTATTGCTATTGAGCCTGGGGCTGTGGGAGTCTGGAGAAGACTCTGGACTGCTTCCAATACATAGGAATATCTCTAAAGTGTAGAAAATGCAAACAACCAAAAAAAAAAAAAACCTCATCCACAATCTCATATTTTGGAGTATATTCTTCTAATCTTCTTTCTTTTTATATGTAGCTTTTTTTTTTTTTTTCTTGGTAGAAGTGAGTTCAGGGAGAAATGCTCTAGCATAACTTGCCTTTTTCACTCAACGATGTAATAGAAATATTTTTCTGGGCAATTAAATATAAAAATTCACTTTTTAAATTAGTTTATCATGACCAATAAGTACACAGATCTTACATGAATAGCTCAATGGATGTCTACACACATACACACCCCTGTAACCATCTAGATCAAGATATAGGATACTTTTTGCCTCCTGGGCTCTCATTCATGTCCTCATACCTCTGTGCAAGCTATACTTCTTTCATGAACTTTGGGCTGAATTTCTATGCCTAAAGACAGTTTCAGAGATTGAGAAAAGACAACTAAATTCTAAGGAGCAATAAATTCCAAGGGCAGATGGTGGCAAGTAGATACCATGGGTCATCCTGATTCAGAGCTTGCTGACCACAAAAATCACAGGAATATTGAGAAATAGAAATCAAGATCTAGGCTTTATGGGCTCATTGCTATTACATGCCACTGCTCCTGGGACGTGAGTCAAAAAAGGTGCTTTCTCACCACTATTCCACTCTGATCCTTGACCCAATTAAACAATCCCAACTAAATTTTGCTCATGAAGTCTCTCTCCCTTGACCACTCCTTGTTGCAACAGCAGTGAACCAAGTGCTTGCCTCTGCCTCTAACTGCTATCAATTTTTACTTTGAGCCCCTCCCCCATAAATAGCCATTATTCTGACTTCTAAAGTGCAGGTCAAATTTGCCTGTTCCCGAACTTCATATAATGGAATCATACAGTTTGCACTCTTTTGTGTCTGTCTTCTCACAAAATAATGCCTGGACAATTCATTTATGTTGTTGTATGAATCAACAGTCCATTCTTTTTCATTGCTATACAGAATTCCATTATATGAATACACGCAGAATTTATCCATTCTTATGTTAATGGTGACTGAGGTTGTTTCCAATTTAAGAATGCCTCCTTTGCCCAACACCGCTGCACGTGGGAAGTTAGGCATTTTCTCTCACCCTTCGGATTGAGTGTATGGGTGGTTGAGAGGCGTCGATTCCCAAGACCCTCTCGCAGCTCTCACAGCAGGCGTCGCAAAAGAGTTTGCACCACTCCAAACAGTCAAAACGAGTCATCCCCCCACCCCACCCCCGCCTTCTCTGGATTTTAAAGACTGAGTAGGAGGAGAAAATGGGGACGGAGTTCCCCTGGTTAATTCATTTATCTTAAGTTCTCGTAACCAAACTAGGCCCTCAGTTGAGGCTTTTGACCCTCAAAGTTCTTTTCGCTTCGTACAGTGAGATCAGAATCCCTGAAAAGAAGCTGCTTGCCCTCCCCGGCTTACCATCCTTGGGCACTCGGCAGTGCGGGGATGCGGCTGCCCTATTTCCCGCGTAGAAACAACTGCAGGTGGCGCCGCCCGCTTAAGAGTGCAGAACTGTGGCCCTGAGCCAAGCTGGGGCAAATATGGAAGACGCGGGATGAGAGAGGGTGGGGCGAAAGGACGCTATGAAGATTCCTGGAGGGAGGGACCAGAGCAGAGGCGGTGAGTGGCAGGAGGAGGCAAATGTTCCCGCGACCGGGAACTTTATCGAGTTGAAGTTTCCTCTGCCGTCGCCTCCTGCTCGCGAGCAGAGCTGAGCCTGTTGTGCGGCCTTTCTGGAAAGCAGGTCGCCACTACCCTCGGCTTGGGACGCCGGCCCGCAAGGAGCCTCGGGGACTCACGCATGGCCGCGTCTGAATCTGGCAACGCAGTGCGACTCTGCCGCGCATGCGCAGCTCCGTCCCCTTCAGAGGCGCGCGTGTGCTCGTGGAGGGGGCGCTTCCTCCAAAAGGAAAGCCAGAGGCGCTCAGGCCTAGATTGCCTCGCCAACCCCCTGCGCCCTCTCCTACAGACTGGTGCATAGTATTTTTAAAACATCTGCGAGGACGACGTCTTTCTGCGAGCCTGAGGAAGGGGCAAAACCAGGGGAAGAGGTGAGATGTATCCAGTTAACCAGGTAGAAATTGTACCTCCGGGACTCATCAAGGCCAAATATAAATGTTGCGTGCTTTTTTTTTTGTTTTTTTGAGACTGAGTCTCGCTATTGTCGCCCAGGCTGGAGTGCAATGGCACAATATCGGCTCACTGCAACCTCTGCCTACTGGGTTCAAGCGAGTCCCCTGCCTCAGCTGCGATTGATTACAGGCGCCCGCCACCACGCCCGGCTTTTTTTTGTTTGTTTTGTTTTTTTGTTTTTTTAAGTAGAGACAGGGTTTCACCATGTTGACCAGGCTGGTCTCTAACTCCAGACCTCAGGTGATCCGCCTGCCTCAGCCTCCCAAAGTGCTGGGATTACAGGCGTGAGCCACCATACCTGGCCAAAAGTTGTGTGTTTACCAGGGACAACCCTGTGCTTTGAGTTCTCCCTGAGCTGTCAATCTCCTGTTATTACTAATCTGTCTACAGATGAGTAAACTAAGGTTCAGAGAGATTACATGACTTATCCATGTTATACAGTGATCAAGAAGTGGAGCCAGGATTTGAACCCATGAAGTCCCACTCCAAATTCTTTCATATAAGTTTACACGGAAAAAAAATCAGATAAGATGTTCAGGTGCCCTCTTTCCTGCCTGCTTAAAAAAAAAAAAAAAAAAAAAGCTGAAAGAATTTTTTAATTGTTTTTGTTTTCATAATTGATAATCGTGTGGGGAGTACTGATTCCCCAAGTGGGTCACAAGGAGTTATCCTGAGCAGGAATGCTCTTGCTGTCCCCCTTGCTCCTGTACTCATACAGTCTATCTCTTGAGGATACAGCACCAAGTAAATTTCACCGATTGAGTGCTCCTATGTTCTAGAAAATGGCGCTCTACACTCACAAGGGCACGTATATAAATTGGCATTTCAACTATGTCTTCAACAGGCCATACCATCGCTCTTTTATGCTGGCCATTTCTGGGTGGTGCAGAATGTGATAGATCCAGTGGACTCCGTGGTCATGTGCCCACTGCTGTGCCTCCTTTGCAGTAAAATGGGTCCTTGGTCCCACAAAGCCGTGTGGGATCCTTCGCTGGTGGATCTAAAGGTCTTTATGTCCTCAGAAAGTGTTGTGTTTGAGGCCCTGTGGACAGCAAAGGCAAACCCAACATACTATATGGGTCTATTTCTGACTAAATACATAAATCATTGCACTTTCCAAAATGGAAGGGATCCAAGCTAGTCAGCTTGCCACCAAGCGGCTTAGCTGGTGTCTTCAAAGATAGCACTGTTCAGTTGGTCATTCTTGCTGGAAGGTTAAACATTTGGCAGCAGCAATAGCTAGATCGGCCTTGAAATAGAAGCCCATCTTTACTGCAACCACGTAGAGCCTCTATCGCCGACAATCATGGCTACTCCACCCACGCACCCATTATGCCAACATAGGGGTGGCCAACAACAGGCTGGCTCATGTCCATTGGCTAATTCATTTCGTCAACCTGATCCCTTACTGTCTCTTCCATGGTTTATTCTAATGAGGGTTAACAGAGGTCCATCCACATTCTTCTAGTCCAGACCTTCTTGTCCTGATCTTCTCATCTTTCCCCTCTGATCAGCCAACCACGTCATTCACCACTGTCCATAAGTCCAGACACATTTATACTGAAGCCACTCCTCTTGCCACAGAAAGTAGATCATTAGGAACACTACCGGAAGCTCTGCCCAGTGGGAGGACTTCTTTTCTTCTTACAAGGGCAGCTCAAAAAGTACAGCAGTGCAGCCACCATTTCAGCATGCCCCCACATGCCTAGCCAACTCATCCATGAATCAAGTGTGGGCTTCCTCTTCCACCATCTGCTGCTCATATGGGATCCCCTGTCAGCCATGGGGAAGAGCTGAGGGAGGGGCACAGCAGTAGACAGCATGAGGATCCAGGCTTCTGTGCTCCTACAGTTCACGTATTTCCTTCAGCCCTGCTCAAGTCGTCCTTCCATCTCATGAGGGATTGCTCTTGGAGATGCCTGACCTTCTGACCTAATGAGAATGAGAGAACCCAAATCATGATGAGCAGTTCTGCCACCTGATGTCCCACGGTCAGGGTTTTGTCTCTATCCAAGCTATGGAAGAATGCCAGGAGTTATTTTATGAAAAGCATAAAGTTCTGTACTGCAGATGGCGGTCTTGTTCTAGAACCCAAGGGGCTTGGGTTTTTATTCTCCCACTGGTTCACCATCTTGAAAACTCTGACATCGTAGGATCTCCTAGATCATATGAACCAAGCACAGAGCCACTTCTACCACAGCCTGCACCTGCTGCAGATCACTCTTCTGCTCTGGGCCGGATCAAAACTGGCAGCCTTGAAGGGAAGCAGAAATCCAAAATGTCTTTAAGATGAGTTTAAAGTTGTGTTGTTCAATACAGTAGCCACTACCCCCATGTGTCTACTGAGCACTTGACATGTGGCTTGTGACAAATGTTGACACGATAATACAATTGTGTTCGCAGCCGCCGCCGCGCCGCCATTGCTCTCCAACGCCAGCACCGCCTCTCACTCGCCGAGCTCCAGCCGAAGGAGAAGGGGGGTAAGTAAGGATGTCTCTGTACCATGGCTCATACAAAGCAGACTGCCCGCAAATCGACCGGTGGTAAAGCACCCAGGAAGCAACTGGCTACAAAAGCCGCTCGTAAGAGTGCGCCCTCTACTGGAGGGGTGAAGAAACCTCATCGTTACAGGCCTGGTACTGTGGCGCTCCGTGAAATTAGAAGTTATCAGAAGTGCACAGAACTTCTGATTCGCAAACTTCCCTTCCAGCCTCTGGTGCGAGAAATTGCTCAGGACTTTAAAACAGATCTGCGCTTCCAGAGCGCAGCTATCGGTGCTTTGCAGAAGGCAAGTGAGGCCTATCTGGTTGGCCTTTTTGAAGACACCAACCTGTGTGCTATCCATGCCAAACCTGTAACAATTATGCCAAAAGACATCCAGCTAGCACGCCGCATACGTGGAGAACGTGCTTAAGAATCCACTATGATGGAAAACATTTCATTC